ACTGTGGAATACTTTATTTTCGCTGGAATTAATTTTCGCTGAAAAGGCTTTTTGGGCGTTTTGTATGGAACGTATTTTCACTGATTTTTGATGAATGTAATGTGAAATATAGGAAAAAAGTATATTCGCTGGATTTTATTTTCACGGAATCATCCATTCAGCGAAAATAGCGAAAATAAATTCCAAGCGAAAATAATGTATTCTACAGTAAATCTATCTATGTAAAAGTAACGTTTCTAGTTTGCGGTAAATCGAAATGTAGTAGTCATTCGTTGAAGACTAGCGCAGTCAGTAGTTTAATGTGAAGGACGATCTGTTCATTGCGCTATTACCTGATTCGTGCGAGCGTAAACTTGTATTTAAAATAACAAACATGACTGTTTTTTATATATTGTTTTTTTTAATCCTTTATCGGCGAGACGGGTGTTATAATTATTTTTAATATATAGTGTGAATACGATGACTCAATGGATAGGTAGATTTTATAATGGCAACATGATAATTCATTCATACATACAATCGTGCGATGTTGCTTTGCAGTGTCAGTGGTTCAACAACAACAACAACAACAACAACAACAACAACAACAACAGCAACAACAACAACAACAACAACAACAACAACAACGGGACATTGAAATGTGTGCAGTATGTGTCATAGACAAGCATTCAGCTTGTGAATACTTGAAGGGTCAGTCGGGGCATTTCTGTAATGAACATTATACAGTCAGCGGAATATAAACTAGACAATTTACAGATAAATCACAGGGAGTTGGACAAACTAGAATATAATAGGGTGTCTACATCGCGCGTTAAAATTTGCATATAACATTAGCGCGTAACAAAGATTGTGATAAAGGAAAGAGTGGTATAAACAAGGATCAGTGATTACTTGAAATCGATACTAGGAAGGAGGGGGGTAAAGAAAAGTTATATAACATTTTATTATTTAATAATTTATTAAAATACATAAGTTTGTCCAACTCCCTGTGGATAAATTCGTGAATACGCACTGGAAACAACCACATATAAACGACCAATCAATATAAGGAATCAGACTGTCCTGACACTTAAGAGGTCTGCCTATGGATCAATTAACCAAATAACTCACTCAAGAGGGCGATCTTGCATGAATTAACTACCAGCCAAATGCATATTTCAATATCCATTGTCTCACCGGTCTTAACTATATAAAGTCCAACACTAATTAAGCCGGGCGTTGCATTGCCTTGATCTACGTGGTAATAGTATGGCAAACCGTGACTTCTGATGACATGTGATACGTGACGGATATTGCCAGCCGAAATAATTGACGGATCTTTCATGCATTCTCTCCGAATTGTCGAGAAGCTCTAACGTCGCACCTCGCGGTGCGCGAATCGCAACATAGAACCTTCAGGATGAAGACAAGAAGCAAGTCGCACCAATTTACCGATGAAATAACACACATTTTAGACAGCGATTTTACATCATTGCCATCAATATTTTTTGTTACTTATTTCTTAGATATTTGTTTTAGGAATCCCCCTCCTCGTGATGTATTTCCGTGTTGTTATTACGTACCACTATTATTGTGTATTATTATTGTGTATCTTGGATATAATATTATTGTGTATCGTTCATGTACACATAAATTCGATTCATAGTATTACGTTCATGTACGCATAAAGTCCGTTCATAGTATTATGTTCATGTACGCATATGTTGTTACTTGTATTACGTTCATGTACGCCTACATCCTGTTAATAGTATTACGTTCATCATGTACGCATACATTGTTACTTGTATTACGATCATGTACGCATATATCCGGTTCATAGTATTACGTTCATGTACGTATATATCCGATTCATAGTATTACGTTCATGTACGTATATATCCGGTTCATAGTATTATGTTGATGTACGCATAGATTGTTACTCGTATTACGTTCATGTACGTATATATCCGGTTCATAGTACATGTATTACGTTCATGTACGCACAATTACTAATGTCCATATGTATTACTCTATGTAATTTATTGTATTATGAATTTATATTACATGCAATACCACTGTAAATCCGTGTCTGTGTCCGTGTCAGATTTTTAGGTTCATAATCGTTGTATGCGAACCGTTTAGTGTATATCATTATTTCTCACAACAATTGTTGGGAAATAACCCCACATGCACAGTAGCGTGTCTTTCAAATTATGTTTGAGTGAACGGCTCTCAATTTTCCACAAATCAAATGTTCAAAAAATTAATTATATTACCGGAAACAAAATTTGCTTTGGAATTTCTTAAAAGCTATAAAACGCCAGATCTATTTTGTATCATTGGTCGTAATTTGTTGCTCATTCGCGTCATATGGTGTCCATTCGTAGTTATATGGCGTCCATTCGTCGTTATATGGCGTCCATTCGTCGTTATATGGCGTCCATTCGTCGTTATATGGCGTCCATTCGTCGTTATATGGCGTCCATTCGTCGTTATATGGCGTCCATTCGTCGTTATATGGCGTCCATTCGTAGTTATATGGCGTCCATTCGTAGTTATATGGCGTCCATTCGTAGTTATATGGCGTCCATTCGTCGTTATATGGCGTCCATTCGTCGTTATATGGCGTCCATTCGTCGTTATATGGCGTCCATTCGTAGTTATATGACGTCCATTCGTAGTTATATGGCGTCCATTCGTAGTTATATGACGTCCATTCGTCGTTATATGGCGTCCATTCGTAGTTATATGCGTCCATTCGTCGTTATATGGCGTCCATTCGTCGTTATATGGCGTCCATTCTGATTATAAGGTGTCCATTCTGATTATAAGGTGTCCATTCTGATTATAAGGTGTCCATTCGTCGTTATATGGCGTCCATTCTGATTATATGGCGTCCATTCTGATTATAAGGCGTCCATTCTGATTATAAGGCGTCCATTTGTCGTTATATGGCGTTCATTTGTTGTTATATGGTGTTCATTTGTAGTTATATGGTGTTCATTTGTAGTTATATGGTGTCCATTTGTAGTTATATGGTGTCCATTTGTAGTTATATGGTGTCCATTTGTAGTTATATGGTGTCCATTTGTAGTTATATGGTGTCCATTTGTAGTCATATGGTGTCCACTGTCGTCATATGGTGTCCACTGTCGTCATATGGTGTCCACTGTCGTCATATGGTGTCCACTGTCGTCATATGGTGCCCACTGTCGTCATATGGTGCCCACTGTCGTCATATGGTGCCCACTGTCGTCATATGATGCCCACTGTCGTCATATGGTGCCCACTGTCGTCATATAGTGCCCACTGTCGTCATATGGTGCCCACTGTCGTCATATGGTGCCCACTGTCGTCATATGGTGCCCACTGTCGTCCGTCATATGGTGCCCACTGTCGTCCGTCATATGGTGCCCACTGTCGTCCGTCATATGGTGCCCACTGTCGTCATATGGTGTCCATTCGTCGTTATATGATGTCTATTCGTCGTTATATTATGCCCATTCCACGCCATACTATGTTTATTTATCAATATAATATGTCTATTCGTAATTACATTATGTGAATTCGTAATTATAATCCAAACTATAACATTGTATATAAACAATTTGATAAAAAATTCTGTAATCTGCTCAAAAAATAACAAAAATCAGTATCCATGAAAAATCAAATGTTAACTATCATGACTATAGAAAATGCTAATTATGTGTTTCGTTATACACTAAGTAGAGTAATCTTTTACAATCCCTCCTTTTGTTGAAAAACAGTCAACATTTCAGTATTTTTCGCTGACTGCTTGAACGTCCACATGCCACCACAATCAACCCGACATCATCAGAATAGTTATTGATGAATATCTCAATCATGTATACACTAATATAGGCACTTAATCAGCATTGTATTTAAAGCTGGAGGGTCGTCACCTGCGCACGCGCGGGAATTGAGTCCCAAGCGATAATAACACACGCCAAAATCGCAAAGGCTCATGGATAGACGCTTGTTTGTAAACAGTAACACGCTATGGCCATCTGACGCTTACGCAGGTGACAACTCCCCCGCTTCAATACTATTTTAAATGTATTTTATTGGTTACCCTCATTGTTGAAAACTGTTTTACCGCGTCATGTCGGACATATTAAGGCTAGTCAGACATTTGAATTTCTTTCGATGAGCAATTTAAACACTTGTATCTGTTATTGTAAAATTGGTGAGACTGGAACTTGTTCATAAAATAATCATTGACGACATTGAAACACTATATATAACAACATATAAGCAATTAATTGCAATATAGGAATTAAGTTTATTTTAATCATTTACA